CTGAGTTATGTCCTTTGGTCCTAGTCTCTCATGCTAGTGGAAACATCTTCTCCACGTCCACTCTGTCCAGGTGACTCAGTATTCTGTAAGTTTCAACGAGATGTTCCCAGCAAAGGTTTCTTTGTCCCCAGATCAATCCAGACGTCTAAAGCCATTTCAGCATTATAATTATATCTTGATGATTTCTTAGGAAGTGCATGCATCTCATTATGCACGTGCTCAACAAATGTCCTGCAGCATTGCACCCGTAGTAGGAAATAATATATAATGGAGCCCTATAAGACTTGTTTTAAAGCCTTTCAAATGAAAACTGCCTTTGGAGTGGGTATTGTTTTAAATATTGTTTTAAATGAACTGAACAGCCATTTGTGGGATGTGGGTGTCATGGCTGGCCAGCATTTATCGCCCGATCCCTAGTTGCCCTTGAGAAGGTGGTTGAGCTGCCTTCTTGAATCGCTGCAGTCCACCTGCTGTGGGTTTCCCACAATGCCATTAGGATGGGAATTTCAGGATTTTGACCCAGTGAAGGAATGGCAATATATTTCCAAGTCAGGATGGTGAATGAGGTGGAGGGGAACATGAAGGTGGTAATGTTCCCATATATCTGCTGCCCTTGTCCTTCTACATGGAAGTGGTTGTGGGTTTGGAAGGTGCTGTCTGAGGATCTTTGGTGAATTTCGGCAGTGCATATTGTAAATAGTACACACTGCTGCTACTGAGCGATGGTGGTGGAGGGAGTGAATGCTTGTGGATGTAGTGCCAATCAAGTGGGTTGCTTTGTCCTGGATGGTGTCAAGTTTCTTGCGTATTGCTGGAGCTATACTCATCTAAGCAAGTGGGAGTATTCGATCACACTCCTGACTTTGTAGATGGTGAACAGGCTTTGGGGAGTCAGGAGGGGTGTTACTTGTCACAGTATTCCTAGCCTCTGACCTTCTCTTGTAGCCACACATTTATTTTATTGTTGCATTTGTGCAAGATGATATGTAGTGACATATGGATTCTTGGAATTTCAAGAAACCTACCATGTTATAAAGTCATACATTCCTTTAAGACCGTAGTAAAGGAGATGAAATTTCTTGCTTGAGCACATGAATAATCTTGCTTTGATGTCAATAGACTATTATTTGACTTACATTGCTGATGTTCTGGAAGGCGATGGCCTAGTGGTATTATCGCTGGACTGTTAATCCAGAGACCCAGATAACATTCTGGGGACCTGGGTTTGAATCCTGCCACAGCAGATGGTGGAATTTGAATTCAATAAATATCTGGAATTAAGAGTCTAATGATGACCATGAATCCTTTGTTGATTGTTGGGAAAAACCCATCTGGTTCACTAATGCCCTTTAGGGAAGGAAACTGCCATCCTTACTTGGTCTGGCCTATGTGTGACTCCAGACTCATAGCAATATGGTTGACTCTGAACTGCCCTCTGGGCAATTAGGACAATGGACAATAAATGCTGCATAGCCTCATCCTCATCCTCAACGTCCTCATCCCATTAATGAAAAAAGAAATTAAAACGAGTGTCATTAATGGGCTGTGATAGTGCCATACCTATGGAGAAATTCGGTGCCTGTAGCACATGTCATGTTTCATGATATTTCTTGTGAATTGAAATCTCTTTAGAATGGATACTCGATGGATTCAAGACAAAAAGTGGAGCGTGCGTAAAGGGTAATTGTTCAAAGTAGCAAAAAGTGGGATATGGTGTTCTACAAAGATGCTGTGTTCACAATTGACATTAAAAGTTGGGACTTTGGAATCAAAAACACAATTTGAAGTTTGTGTATGACACAAACTGGAGTAGAGAGAGGGTATAGTCAATGCTGAGGAAGTCTGTAACAAGTTACAGGATTACATTAATAAACTTGCAGAGTGGGTAAACAATTGCCAATTTAAATTCAACACAGATTTATGTGTTGACTTTTTAGATAGTCCCTCAGGATGAAGGGTGGCTTTAGTCCCTTGCAGTGTTGTGGCTAAGTCATCCATACTGGTCACGGATACCTTTCCATACATGGGGGAGGAAACGTTTGTTAAAGTGGGTGGGTGAGACACTCAGACTTTTGCATGCTTCTTCCACTGTTTATGCTGGCTTTCAAATGGGCTTGTCACAGACACTGAAAATGGTTGGCTGCTTTGTGGACACACGCACTCGAATGAGTGCAGTAAAAAGTTTGTAATCTTGCCTCTCGGCACCATCTTAGGTACAGGGTACCAAGGTACAGTTAATTTAAGTGTTGCTACAGAATTGAAATAGTTACAAAAAGAACTAGCATGTGAATACGGAGTCTAAATAGTCGAGAATGACAATAAAAAGTGTCTTTAAATTACTCAAGTTATAGTCCTTTTTCCACTAAGTGTGTGCCCGCCGGGCTTCAGAACACGAGGCCTCGCCGCCTCAATGCACTGGCCTCTGTCCAAGACTTGCCTCCGGGACACATTCCCCCACTCCTCCAGCTGGCCTGGGCTCACTGTCCAGCCGCAACTCAGCTCCCATTTCGGCCTGCACTCCCTCTGCTACCCACTCTGGGCTCTGACGCGCGACTCATTTTCTGGTCTCGGCCCGCAATCGCTCTGTTCCTGCTCTGGCCGCGACTCGCTTCCAGGACTCTGCCCGCTCTCTCTCCGCTCCCACTCCGGCCACGATTCGTATCCCGCACTGGGCTAGTCTCAACTGTTCTCCATTCCCTCCAGGTAAGATACTTTAAGAAGTCAAAAGTTAGTGTTGGGGGGAGAGGGGAATGAGTGGGGAAGAAAACCTGCAGCAAGAGGAAATAAAAGGAAGAGGAAAAGGAGCCGGTGAGCAGAGGAGCTACAGTTGGGGTTTCACATAAGTTAGTGAGGATGTTAAATTTTTTCAGAGAGGTTTTGAAGATGTCCTTGAAGTGTTTCTTCTTCTTCGCCATGCCAAAGATCAGAGTAGAGAGTTCATTTTGTGATTCTTGTATCAGACATGTGGACAATGCAGTCTAGCCAATGCAGCTGACAGACTGTAACCAGTGCCTCCCCAATGTGTGAGTTGCAAAGTATCTGTGGATGTTGACTTTAGAGAGGATACTAATATTGGAGCACACATATCCTGCCAGTGGATTTGTAAGATTTTGTGAAAGCATCACTGGTTATTTTTCTCAAAGGATCTGAGGTGTCTGCTGTACGTTGTGCACGTCTCTAAGACAAGAGGGCTGGTAACGCTGATGCATTGTAGACCATGCGTTTGGTGACAAATTTGAGGTCTTTGTCATCAACTGTTCTTTTCCTCAGATTACTACATATTATGTAGTACATTTGGCCAGAAGAATAGAGAGGTTCTATTTCTTGGAAGGTGCAAGTCTAGGTAGGTAGAAGGATAAAGTCATCTCCTTAATACCAAACACTAAAAATTGTGGTAGAGGTTAGCAAGACCATAAAGAAACCAAATCAAGCATTACGTTTTATGTTTAGAGGAATAGCATTCAAAAGTAAGGAATTTTTGTCAACTCTATTGAGCCTTGGTTAAAACGCATTTATATTGCATACTGCATGCAATTCTGGCTGCCACACAATAAAGAAATGCAGAGGCAATAAAGAGGTTGCATTGACTGTTTCAAGGATGATACCAGGAATATATTGGTGTATATATCATAAATAGATTGACAAACTGGATCTTTGTTCCATTGAAAAATGAAAACTGAGAGTGGGTTTGTTACCTAAAATAATTTCTTTTAATGAATGATTTTTGATACAGTGAATGCAGAGAAAATGTTTCCTCTTGTGTGAGGAACAGAACTAGAGAACATCAATGTAAGATTGATACAAAGCAATCTAATGCAAAATTCAGAAGAAATTCTTCAACCCACACACTGAGGAGATGCTCTAGTGGTAATGCCGTTGGACCAGTAATCCAGAATCCCAGGCTTATGTTCTGTGGATATAGGTTCAAAGAATCCCACCATGCAGAAGGTGAAATTTCAGTGTCACAGAAGTCTGGAATGAATTCCGAGTCTAATGACAACTAATCACTGTCGGTTGTCGTAAAAAGAAACTGGCTCGTTTATGTCCCATGACCAACTAAAACAAAAGTGATGAAATTTTCTTCTGCAGGGAATCGTTGAAATGAATATTATAGATTATAGATTAGGATGAAGAAAAATGGGAGGAGGCTTGAGTGGAGCATAAACAGCAACATAGACTGGTTGAACAGAATGACCTGTTTCACTGCCTTATATTCTGTGCAATCTAAGTGACATAACAAAAGTTAAAATATGAAAGACAGATGAGAAGTAGCTGGACAGGGTGGGAACTATAGTGATTGTAATGAGGTCAGCCAGGTGGACTGCGTAGAATATGAGCTCCCTGATTGGGGCTGTTAATCTAGTCCAATCATGGAGCTCTGCTGACAGATAAGAACAAGAGAATCAGACATCCTGTTCACTCTGAGAGCTGGCTGTGAGGGACTGGATCAGTGTCAAGGACTCTCCATATGTAAGTAAAGGGTGACTCGGTGATGGGTTACCAGCCTCGGTGGAGTTATTTCAGAAACATTCTTCTTACTGAGCTCATTCAGTGAGCTTCCAAATGTATACTGTAACTACCGTCCATTATATGTGAGTCAGAAGAATGTTATACACGTATAAGAAGATTGCATGGTCATCTTAATGTATTAACTTATTCTCATTAAGTTAACACATATCTCAGATTGGACCTTCTTACATCCATGAAATCCTGTACTGGAATTGCATGTATTGAATCATTTAGATCTGATATGCATAGAATATCCAGTATGTGCAGCAACCTGATATAATGAATTGTTACCCAGACTTTGAACCCAAAGTTCCTAGTTTTAACGATTGAAAGATCCAAGACCTTAAAGCTTGTGAATGTATTTAAATTGAAAATTGTCAGAGCATTGCATATGAAGGAAAGCAGATATTTTGTTTAGTACAGAGAAAAGTATGCTGAGCATGTAATCATAATTTATATCCAGCTGATAAACTGATATCTCTTGTAGAAATACAACAGAAGATACCTAATCTCGAGGAAGAATCTAGAAGAAAATGTTCCTCAAGTGCCATTAACTGCTCTCCGTGTTCAGGTACTCATCTACCTACCTCCCTCAGCCACTCCCATTTATTCATATTAGCATTTTTCCATCTATTTTTGAAAATGTAATCACTTTGTTAGGAGTTTCTGATTTTTAAAACTATTCTGATGTGTAATTGTCTGCATTGTGCAACCCAAGTCACAAGGAGGTGAAACAATGATACGTGTACATTTTATATGTCATTGCATTTGTGCAATTATACACCACATATTCACTGATGAATGTATATAATGTCAAGTTTCCCATTGATATACAGTAGTTTGCATAATATTGTACCTGTCTGTAATCAGCATATTTGTATATATCTTGAATTTACAAAGTATAGCCATATAGTGTTATAATTCATTTAATGTTACTCAAATATGCAGTTCTGATTAATAACATAAACACTAAAACAATGTGGAATTTCACCCTGTTTAACAACCATGGATTGACCTTGTTAGATTATTTATTCACAATTGCTCCACCCTATAGTAAAGAATAATTAGGAGAGGTGACTACATTTTGTGTCATAATAATTGTTATTTTTGCGGGAAAAGAATTAGCTAAAAAAAAGTATACATATCTGAACTTTAGCTCTAAGTACTACTATTTTGGGTACAAAGTCAGAGACTGAATTAACTAAACAGTATAGTTTCAGAAAAATCCACAAAAAAACAGAACTATCTTGAACTTAGTCAGAAACTGAGATTTTAGTTATGGTGAGAAATGCTTGCATGGCTTGAAAGTTGATCGTTTTGGAGCAAATCCTAATTCGTTCAAGTAGCAAGTGATTAAAAAAAATGGGAAAGACCATCAAAAGTGCAAATGAAATTGGGTTCAATGATCTCTAAAATGAACTTGAGATAGACTATGAGAACGAAACATTTTCAAGCTCTTATGGACCAGTGATAGGGAGAGTTCCCATTCTTCCACCTTTTAACTGACCAAAGACGATGTGCTTTTAAAGACTATGTTTTAACCTTTTGGTACTCTTATAAACACCGACAAATAAATTATAGGTTTTTTTACACGACTTTAAAGAAGGATAAATGTTTATTATTTAACACCCGAGTATATATGCAACAATGCTCACTTGCAAATTCATACAGAAACACATTTATACCTTTAATCACAAAAAGTAGCATGCATTTACATCTTAATAATTAAAGAGATCTGTGCTGCACATGCTAACCCCCGGGATGAAACATTGAAATGGTGCTATAAAAACCAAAAGAACCGCAGATGTTATAAATCAGGAACAAAAACAGAAGTTGCTGGAAAAGCTCAGCAGGTCCAGCAGCATCTATGAAGAGAAAATCAGTTAACGTTTCGGGTCCAGTGACCCTTCCTCAGAACTGGTGCAAACCTGTTATCCTTGTTTTTTGTCCATTGGAGTCTGGAGATTTTGGGAAGACAGACTGATTGTTGTTATTTATTTGTTTAAGCATGGAACTGACCACTACACAGTCAAGGAATATTCCAAGAATTTCCTCCTGTAATCGTATTGCATCCTGGCCTCCCACAGTAACCAGAACTAGCATAGTATGTATGGGCACCTTCAGTACCATTTTTGCCAGAACCTTTGCATACATTAAGCTCTCTGGTAGGAAGATCATGCCATTAACAATCAGTAATGATTGGGTAGTCCCCGTATCCCGGAGTAGGACAATTGTTTTCTCACTTCATTGAAGGAACACAGAGGTACTATTCTCTTTAAGACAAACCAGTGGTAACTTTCATGGATTTTGACTGTTTCTGCTGCAGCCAGGGTATTGTTCCTGGAGGATCAATCACTGTGGCTAGACCACGCATTTGTGAACAGTGCTAGCACCCTTTTCTGGACTGGCTTGGCGAATCCTGACAAAACCTCCTGGCTTCCTTTGAAGTTCGAGCAGTCAGATTTCAAATGGCCTATTGTATTACACATAAAAAGCACATGGGTCTTTGGGAATTCCTATCCTGTACACCCTTTCTTTTGACACGTGAGGCAACACTGCATTCTCAATTTTCTTCTCCCTTTATTTACCATCCCATCATCTCTAATCCATTTCCTCAGGTCAGGAGTCTATAGCCAACCCAGATCTACCCGTTAGTATTTTTTTAAGCAGGGTCTTGTTCCATCAATGATCAAGATGTTTCTTTTCTCTGCCCCAAAACTATGCCTTATTAAATCTCCTTATCAGAAACCTGGCTTCTAACATTTGACTAAAGCATTTCTTTCCATTGTCCTCATAAAAATTTTCTGATAGCTAGATCTTGTCAAGCAGTGGAATCTAAGTGTCACCCATACACATGCATTGTGGCAAAATAGGGCTTTTCAAACATTTTTTCTATAATCAAAAAGTACAATCAGTGCTGTGAAACAAGTTTTTTTTTAGATAAGTTGGAGAAGTACAGCCAAAGGAAGGGTTGTTTATAGTTCAATAACTTCTCAAAAGATGAGTCCAGAAAGGTCATTTATATTTGAATGTCTGTCGAGATTTGTCCAAATGTGACAATATGCACAGGGAGTCTGGTAGTTCCATGTATATTAGCAGGAATGAAAAGGTCACTTGACTTATTAACTCCATTTATTTTAGAATGGGAGTCCTCATTTTGGATTTACAATTCTTAAATCCACATTATATGAACATGGTAGTACTGCATTCTGAAGACAATGGTCAGAGAAGTCAATGAAGTAAAGCCAGAAATTACTAACAGCTTTAATCAACTCTGCCTGCATTATTTCAAATTGCCAATTATCATCTTTGTTGGAACGGGACTTGTTGGGATCTTTTGCTGGGGTGAAATGCATTTTTCAGAAAGTAAGATGGAAGCAAAGAAAGGCTTGACTCATTTGGATGTTAGTACACACAGATCTGAGACACAGTCTTTTATGTCTATTGATAGAAGTAAGTGGTATGTTTCAAAAACATTCAGCATATTCCTGGAGGTATCATTTACTTTTCTAATCTACAGTCTTGGATAATTTCTGAGTGCTTAAAAATTACTTTCAGTCTCAGAACTGGAAATGTCGAGATAGCATATGAGTATATCATTCATTATGAATAATTTTTCATGCATCCTGATATTTTAGACCTGATAACTGAGAAATCATTGATCTTTCAAGAGATAAGTTTCTAGGCTTTAAATAGTGGATGTTGAGATATTAGGATTTTTAGGGGTCATTATCAGAAGATCTAGCTAAAAACATATTAGCTGTCCAGAGTGCTAAAACCAAATTCTTGATCATTTTGCGACATGCCATAACTTAAATAGTGTTGTGCTGTTGTGACAATGCAAACTTCATTCACTCTGTAGTAAAGAAGAACAAATTGCTATACCTCTAGAAGCCAACAGCCAGAGGGAAACTACGAAGCAATTATGTAAGGACATCTCAAATATCTGTAAGAATAAGAGGGTTATAATGGTAGGGGATTTTAACTTTCCATACATAGATTGGGACTGCCATAGTGTTAAGGGCTTCTTTGTAGAGGAATTTGTTAAGTCGAAGAAAATTATAGAGAAGGGGCAAAACTCGATCTCCTGTTGGGAAATAAGGCAGGGCACGTGACTTAGGTGTCAGTAGGGGAGCACTTTGGGGCCAGTAATCATAATTCTATTAGTTTTAAAATAGTTTTTGAATAAGATAGACCTGATTCAAAAGTAAAGTTCTATATTGACGTAAGACCAATTTTGATGGTTATTAGGCAAGAACTTTCAAAAGTTGATTGGGAGAGGCTATTTGCAGATAAAGGGACAGTTAGAAAGTGGGAAGCCTTCAAAAATGAGATAATGGGAGTCCAGAGACAGTATGTTCCTGTTGGTTCGAAGGGCAAGGCTGGTAGTTATAGGGAATGCTAGAGGACTAGAGAAATCGAGGCTCTGATCAAGAACAAGAAGGAGGTATATGTCAAGTATAGACAGCGGAGATCAGACGAGTATAAGGGCAGTAGGAGTACACTTAAAAGGGAAATCAGGAGGGCAAAAAGAGAACATGAGATATCTTTGGTAAATAGGGTTAACAAGAATTGAAAGAGATCCTACAAATGCATTAAGGACAAACGAGTAACTAGGGTGAGAATAGGACCCCTTAAAGATCAACAAGGTTGTCTATGTGTGGAACCATAGGCGATGGGTGAGATACTAAACAAGTATTTTGCATCAGTATTTACTGTAGAGAAGGACATGGAAGCTGGAGAACTTGGGGAAATAATAGTGATACATTGAAAAGTGTTCATATTATAGAAGAGCAGGTGCCGGAGGTCTTAAAACACATAAGGGTGACTAAATCCTTGGTACCTGATCAGGTGTATCCCAGAACTTTGTGAGAAGCTAGGGAAGAGATTGCTGAGCCCCTTGATGAGATATTTGTGATCATCAATAACCACAGGTGAGGTGCTGGAAGACTGGAGGTTGGCTAATGTGGTGCCATTATTTAAGAAGGGTGGGAAGGAAAAGTCAAGGAACGATAGACCAATGAGCCTGACTTCAGTGCTGCTTAAGTTATTGGAGGGGATTCTGAGGGACAGGATTTACGTGCATTTGGAAAGGTAAGGACTGATTATGGATAGTTAGCATGGCTTTGTGTGTGGGAAATTGTGTCTTGCTAACTTGATTGAGTTTTTTGATGAAGTGACAAAGAAGATTGATGAAGGTAGAGAGGTAGACTTTCTCTAAATTGACTTCAGCAAGGCATTCAACAAGGTTCCACTGGGTAGGCTTGTTAGCAAGCTTAGATCACATGGAATCCAGGGAGAGACCAATTGGATACAAAATTGGTTTGAAAGTAGGAGACAGAGGATCGTGGTGGAGGGTTGTTTTTCTGACTGGAGGCCTGTGATCAGTGGTGTGCCGCAGGGAACAGTGCTGGGTCCAATGCTTTTCATCATTTACGTAAATGGTTTGGATGTGAATGACGGAGATATGGTGAGAATGTTTGCAGATGACACCAAAATCGGTGGTGGAGGGAACAGTGAAGAAGGTTTTCTCAGTACAAAGGACCTTGATCAGATGGGCTAACGGGCCAAAGGGTGGCAGATGGAGTTTAATCTAGATAAATATGAGGTGTTGCATTTTGGTAAGGTATATCAGGACAGAACTTATACAGTTCATGGTAGGACCCTGGGGAGTGTTGCTGAACAATGAGACCTAGGGGTGCCAGTGCATAGTGCTTTGGAAGTGGAGTCGCAGGTACACAGGATGGTGAAGAAGGTGTTTGGCATGCCTGCCTTCATTGGTCAGTACATTGAATATAGGAGTTAGGATGTCATGTTGCAGCTGTGCAGGATATGAGTGAAGTAACTTTTAGAATACTGCATTTAATTCTAGTCTCCCTGCTGTAAGAAAGAATTTGTTTAACTTGAAAGGGTTCAGGAAAGATTTACAAGGATGTTGCTGGGATTGGAAGAGTTGAGCTATAGGGAGAAGCTGAATATGCTGGGGCTGTTTGCTCTCAGAGGCTGAGGGTTGACCTTGCAAAGGTTGTTAAAGTCATGAGAGGCATGAAAAGGGTGAATTGGGTAGGGGATTCCAACACTAGAGAGCATATTTTAAAGTTGAGAGTGGGTAAAATTTAAAACGGACCTGAGCGTGATGATTGGAATGATATCACCCAGGTGGCTCTTGTAAAATATAGGTTCCCTGATTGGACCAGGTTAACAGCCCCAATCCGGGAGTGTGGCTTAAAGATACAGACAGGAGTGTCAGGAGTCCTGCTGTGAACTAGCTGGATCAGTGTCATGTACAATGTATGTGTTAATGAAAGGTGATTTGGTGTTGGATTACTGGTCTTGGAGTTACTTCAGTTGTGACACAAGGAAAACACACCCCTGAAGAGATTTGCTTGCAGCGGTTGTCTTTGATTTGGACGAAGCATGTCTGGCATAATGCTGCTATTTGAGAAGCTTGACCTGTTTGATCTTGCTGTTGAAGACTGGGCCTGTATGTGGAAAGAATGTGTTATGTTTTCCAGGCAAATGAAATTGAGGCAGATGTGAAGTAACAAGTAATTCTGACAGCTTGTGGACCTGCAGTATTTTTGGTTATTGGGAACCGAATGAGGCAGCAGATTCTAAAACCGTTTTAGTCTTAATGGAGATAACAAGGTGTAGAGCTGGATGAACGCAGCTTCATTCTTCAGAAAATGAAGAAGGGTCTAGGCCCAAAACGTCAGCCTTCCTCTCCTCTGATGCTGCTTGGCTTGCTGTGTTCATCCAGCTCTATACCTTGTTATCTCAGATTATCCAGCATCTGCAGTTCCTACTATCTCTTAGACTTAATGGATTTAGCTAAGGAATATTATGACCCTAAGCCTCCTAATTCTGAGATGCTATTGGCTTTACTTGGCAGTTTGAGACTTGGGGAATCTGTACGGGAGATTTTGGTGAGGTTAAGATGACTAGCAGAGGCATGTGATTTTAGTTTAACTCTAAGTGTAATACTGAGTGTTTGTTTGTTTGGTTATATGGGAATAATGATGTAACTCTTCAAAAGTGCCTACTTGCTGAAGCCCAGCTGGACTTGAAGCCAGACGTTGTGCCTGTTTGGTCATTGGATAATGTGGCAAGTGGAGCTTGTGAGTTACAGGGTTATGTAAGTGAGTACCCTTGCCAAGCTGACCGAGCTTGTGGGAAACACCACTTGAGTGAAAGCAAGTGCATGTCCTCACTGAGGACATCCTGAATAGATGGACTGTGTCAGCCCACAGAAAAACCCCAAAACAAAGTAAAGCCTTAACCAAATGATTAAATTTTTTTTCTTGAGGATCTGCTCTGGCAAGCCATTGCAGTTGCTGCTGGTATGTGATCTTGAGACAGCAAAAGAGTCCCACCTGCCTGAACTGAGTAAGAAAACTCTAAGGCTGGTATCCCGAAGTGTGCACATCCTGGAAAGTCCACTACAGCTGGCTTGGAACAGTTACATTGCTTAGCAACATCCAGATGAGAACCAATTAAAATAAACATCTGGGTAAATAGTCACCCAATTCTAATTGAGGTCAATACCAGTGATTGCAGAACCAGTCTTTACCAGCATTCTGTCTGGACTCCCACCCTTGCATTTGTGTAAGATCTTAGCTAGGCTTAGAACCTATACTGGAGATCCTGTACTGATTGAGGGTACCATTTCAGTTCTGATCTCTTATGAGAAGCAGCTGGCTCAGTTACCACTGATTGTAGTAAAAGGCTTGGGCCCAAACTTGATGTGGTGAAATTAGTTGAGACTCAACTTTTTTTTAGATTAGAAAGTGGCTACCTGAGTGAAATATCTAATTAAGTCATAGAATCACTACAATGTGGAAGCAGGCATTTGGCCCATTGAGTCTACACTAACCCATCCAGACCACTGCCTGCCATATTCCTGTAACCCTGCATTGCCCATGGCTAATCCACCTAGCCTGCACATCCCTGGACAGTCTGAGCAATTTCGCATGGCAAAAACACGTAATCTGCACATCTTTGAACTTTAGGAAGAAACCAGAGCAGCTGGAGGAAACCCACGCAGACACAGGGAGACTGTGTAAACTCCACACTGACTTCCACCCAAGAGTAGAATTGAACCTGCTCCCTGTGACGTTAGCATTGCTAACTACTGAGCCACTGTGCCATCCTAACGTCCAAAAGGTTTTTCAGAAAGATCTAGGAACTATCAAAGGAGCCAAGGCCACCTTGTTGACCAGCAAGCAATTCCAGGTATCTGTAAGGCCTGTCCACTGCCATTTGCCATGCATGCAAGAGTACAGGCAGAAATCAGGAGGCTAGAAAGTGAGGGAATTAGGAAACCAGCCCAGTTTGCAAAATGGGCAGCACCAGTTGTACTGATTGTGAAACTTGGTGGGTTGGTTTGCATTTGTTGGAATTTCAAACAAACAGAAAACATCTTTTTGTAGCTAGATAAATACCCAATACCTTTATATAGAAGACTTGTATGCAAAACTGTCACTGGGTGGGTCCTGTCCTTCACAAAGCTGGACATGAGCTATGCTACAATTAATACCCAATAGGGTTTGTACCAATAGACAAGACTGTCATTTGGGGTATCAACAGCCTTTGTCATTTTTCAATGGGTGAGAGAACATTTTACAAGGCCTACCACAAGTTGCCATTTATCTGGATGATGTTTTCATGACCAGGAAGACCAATGAATGAAAAGGAAGGATTTAGAGGGATGTGGGTAAATGGGACTGGATCAGTTTACCATATCTGTTGGCATGGACGAGATGGACTGAAGGGTCTGTTTGTGCTGTATAACTCTGACTCTATAAATTGAAGCCAAACATAAACTGCAGATTTTGGGAGCAATTTCTGCAAGAAGGGCAGAATCATGCTGACATTTCTAAATCTATTGCAATATGTAATTCTTTGATCACTTCACCTAAACCTCATTAGATCTTTGAGCCAATAGAAACCATAAGAAGTAATCAAATTACTGAACATAATGAAAGTTATGGAGATTGATATCAAATATGATGTTACTGTTTATCAAAAATGTTGGCTAATTTAGCAAACAATTGAAGAGGCAGTCATATGTTTTATAGTTGAAATTCAAGCATTCATTTTGATAAAATGGAGAAATGAAGCAAAATTTGATTTTTAATGTCTGTTTGAAAGTGAATGTCCGCAAACAGCTTGGAACTGTTTGCAAATGTTTATAAGGAAAGCTTTCCCATTGTCACAGTGTTTCATAACTTTGGCTGTAACTTCAATGGATGATCAGCAAAAATTTCACTTGTATAAACCAGCTGTCTGTGGGACCTTGTGTGCAGGTTGACATCCATGTTGCCTTGCAAAACAGTAATGATTTCACATCAAATGTAATGAAGCACATCTGGACATAGAAAATCACACCTTACACATCCTAAGAACATTTTCTTTGTAGAAAGAACCCCAAAGACGTGTAGAATTACAAGAAAACAAAGTGAAATGTGTAAATATTTATTAAACTACAATTCTTTTATATTCAGATGGACAAAATTCTTCAGTAGAAATACCAGGGACGGTAACTACAACCTCAAGTGTTGAGCATTCCCTGGACAAAGGTAATTTACTATGTCAGTTCAATTGCTCAGGTACACTTTTTATGTAAATTACCTTAAATATCTGTCGCCTAGTTACTGATGCACCTGGCACAGGATACAGTTTCTCTCTACCTGAAAAATCCTTCAATTTTGACCATCTCTTAAAATATCCTTAAAACCTTCTGTGGTCTAAGGAGAATAATTTTAAGGGATGGCAGTGTTGCTGGCAAGGCCAGATTGTTACCCATTCTAAATGCCCCTGAGAAGGTGGTGATGAGCCACCTTGTTAAATCACTGTAGTCTATCTAATGTAAATATTCCCACAGCTGCTCTAGTCTTTCCATATAACCCATACAATTAAAGTCCTTTATCATTAGTATCACTCTAGCAAGCCTCCTTTACACCCTCTCTAAGGGAGTGTCATCCTTTTGAAGAGCAAGTACGCAAACTTGGACACAATTTTACTTCAGAATGTTGTTATTTTGTCTGCTTCTTCTGCTAATTTATGCCTGTATTTTGCCTTTGCTACACCTTTTGTCATTAATACAATTCCTTGTAAACTTTTTTGGCCAGTCTGTTCTGGGGCTAAACTCCAAATGATAGAATGGAAAAGTTTATGAGAAGTTTGTAATTTTGAGTTTTTTTTTAACATGCTGGTTACATATTTAAATGTCTGAAATGCAAAGCATTTGATGCTGCTTAAAACATAGGTTTCTGAAAAATTATTTAAAACTATGGTTCCTCTATCTTCAGATATTAGATCAAACTCTCCAGCCCAAAGTAAAGAGTGCATGACTGAAGTCTCAAATGATGACAGCAGTTTAAAGGTGCAACAAACTAATGCTCCCTCTGATTTCAGTCAGCAAGGTACTAATTCTTCATTCTTTCTACCTAATTGAAAACACAATATTGACAGTTTCTGGCAGTGTTCCTGTGAATTGTCTCTATCTTGCACTGAATCCTCAATGGTAATATTTTAAAGAGCTTTATGAATACAAGAACCTTTATTTTATTATGCTTATTAAGTCAGTGTGGATTTTAATTCCTGGGTGGAAACTGCCTAACACAGTAGCATAATGGCTATGTTACTGGACTAATAACTCAGAGGCCTGAACTGGATGTGAGTGCAACCAGTCATAAGCAGAGGTGGGTATTTTAAATTCAAATTGTAATAGAATGGAATAAACAGCTCGTGTTAGTAAACATAACAAACTCCCAAATTGTTTTTGTTTTTTGTATTTGTTGAAGCAAAGAACTGCAGATGCTGGAAATATGAAACAAAAGCAAATTGCTGAAGAAACTAAACAAGTCTCGCAGCATCTGTAGAGAGAAAGCAGAGTTAGCATTTCAAGTTCAGTGACTCTTCATCAGAACTGGACTGTTGAAGTAATGTAGGAAAGTATCCAATATAGCTTCTTTACCACCATATCTATCCATCCCACTACAATGAACCTGTGGACATACACTCCAGTCTCTCTCTTCCTCAACCTCTCTCAATTCTCTCCTGTTAATTGTTTATTCTCTTGCTGTGTTCAACCACCACAAATATAGCCTTCCACTGGTCTGGATTGAATTCCATTTGCTATTTCTTTGCTCACTCAATCAAATGTCATGCTTCAGTCAACAGCTGCCCTCTTCACTATCAACTACCTTGCCAATAACTATCATCTGCAAACTTCTCACTGGTCCCTCCTCATGTTTAAATCATCAGTATGCAGGCAGTCCCTGGTTTATGAATGGGTTCCATTCCTGAGTAATTAATAAGTCCATTTGTATCAAAGTCAGAACACATGCAAGAAAGTACAAAATAGTTGTTTGTAAAAGGACATGTTCACATAATGGATATTTAAAATAAATATTAATGTGGGAAACAAAAGCAGAAGTTGCTGGAAAAGCTCAGCAGGTCTGGCATCATTTCTGAAGAGAATTCAGAGTTAATGTTTTGGGTCCAATAACCCTTCGCTTGTACCCTTTTTGAATAATAATGTGATATTTGCTGACCCCGAATCCTGTAGTACTTTGCCTCTACCGAACAAGGACTGGAAAATGAACTGTAGAGCATTCATTATTTCTTCCCTGCCTTCCTTTAATAGCCAAGGATACAATTCATTCAGCTCTGGTGATTTCACCACTTCAAGGAAGTCAATCCATCCAGTGCTTCCCTTCTCAATGTTCATTTCTTTCATATTTCACATGGTTTTTCTTTACCTAGATTGGCTATATCATTCTCATTTTGAAGTGCTCATTTAGAACCCACTTACAAGTCACTTTAGCTTGCTCTAAATGAACTGATGAAACATCCTTCAATTTTCCTTCATTTCACTGGTCAATATTTTTCATACCCTCTCTTTGCTTTCCTAACTAACTTTTCACTTTACCACTATATTTTTATACAACTTCATACTTCCTAAACAATGACTTTATGAAATTATCATAAGCCCTATCTTTCACCCTTATCTTACCCTATATGCTTGGGACAGTGAGAAGAGGTCTGAGGCTAGTACAGTTGAAGAGGAGCAAGTCAAATAGTCAAGGCAGGTGAGAGTAAGGTAAGAGTGTTAAATTAAACTGCATTTATGCAAGAGGCCTGACGGGTAAGGCATATGAACTCCGAGCATGATTGAGGGCATGAGACAAGGACATCATAGCTATTACAAAAGTGTAGCTCAAGGGCGGGACTGGCAGGTTAATGTTCCAGGGTATGGATGCAATAGGAAGGATAGGAGTGGGATCAGAGGAGGGGCATTGGCGTTTTTGGTTAGGGAGAATATTATGGCTGTACTTCGATTCCTTTGAAGTCTAGTGAAGTCATTTGGGTGAAAAGGATGATCACCTTTATTGGGATTGTACTATAGGCCCCCAGTAGTCAGTGAGAAATTGAAAACCAAATTTGAGAGATCTCAGGTATCTATTCGAATAAGTTGTAATGGTAAGGGATTTTAAATTTCTAGACAGACTGAGACTGCCATAGTGTTAAGGGCTTGGATGAAGTGGAATTTGCTAAATGTGCACAAGAAAACTTTCTTATTCAGCATGTGGATATTCCTACTAGAGAAGGAGCCTTGGGAAAAAAGGCATGACGAGTGACTGAGGTGTCAGTGGGGAGCACTTTGGGGCTAGTGATTTATAATTCTACTAGTTTTAAAGTAGTGATGAAAAGAATAGGCCTGATCTAAAAGTTGGTCAAAATTGGCTTCAGTCCAGTTTAGAACAGTATTTGGCAAGAACTTTCAGAAGTTGCTTGGGAGAGGTTATTAACAGGTAAAGGGGCAGTTGGAAAGTGGGAAGCCTTCAAAAATGAGTTCAGAGACAGTATGTTCCTGTTGGTGTAAAGGGCAAGGCTGGTACTTATAGGGAATGCGAGAGGACTAGAGAAATTGAGGCCCTGATCAAGAACAAGAAGGAGGTAAATGTCAAGTATAGACAGCTGAGATCAGACAAGTATAAGGGCAGTAGGAGTATACTTAAAAGGGAAATCAAGAGGGCAAAAAGAGAACATGAGATATCTTTAGTAAATAGGGTTAACAAGAATTGAAAGAGATTCTACAAATGCATTAAGGACAAGAGTGACTAGAGCTCTTTCTGTACTGCTATAATACTGGCATTGACCAAACAATGTGGGGAAAATTGCACAGGTATGTCCGAGTCATAAAAACCAGGACAAATCCAACTGGTCAGTTACATCAGGTAACTAGAAAACTGGAATCAATGGGAAAACTCTCTATTGTTTGGAATTGTATGTAGGTTAAACATGGATGATTGTAGTTGCTGAACATCAGTCTGATCAGGTCCAGGACATCCCTGCAGGAGTTCTTAATTTGTCTTAGGCCCAAATACCTTCAGCTGCTTCATCAATTACCTTACTTTCATCATGATGTTTACTGATGATTACAATGTCAAGCACTATTCGTAACTTGTTAGATCCTGAAGCAGTCCATATCCACATGGACAATATCTAGGCTTGGGCTCATGAGTGACAGATAGCATTCATGCCACACAAATACCAGGCAGTGGCCATCACTAACAAGAGAGAATCTAACTCTGTTCTTGACATTCAATAGAATTGCCATCGCAGAATCCCCACAATCAACATCCTGGGAGTTAGCATTGATCAGAAACTGAACTGGACCAGCTATAATTATTGTGGCTGCAAGAGCAGGTCAGAGGCTAAGAGTTCTGCAGCAAATAAGTCACCTCCTGTATCCCCAGTGCCAGTCCACCATCTACAAGACAAGAGTATGATGAAATATTCTCCACTGGCCTGCTCAAGCACATGTCAAACTTCAAGTGTTGTTGGATATTATCCAGGACAAAGCAGCTTGCTTGACAGTCATTCCATCTATCATCTTCGACATTCACTTCCTTCACTGACAATGCACTAATGACAGTAGTGTATACCATTTATAAGATGCATTGCAGTAACACTCAAGGCTCCTCCAGTAGCACCTTCCAAACGCTTGACTGCAACCAGCTACAAGGACGAGGGCAGCAGATGTATTCAAATAACACCACCTGCAAGTTCATCTCCAAGCCACACATCATCCTGACTTGAACTATATTGACATTCCTTCATTGCTCCTGACTCAAAATCATGGAACCTCTTCCTCAGATTTCTGTGGCTGACCCCACCAGCAAAGGATTGCAAAAGTTCAAGAAGGCAGCTTGCCACTACCTTCTCTGGGGTAATTAGGTAATAAATGTTGGCCTAGTCAGTGATGCCGATGAACAAATATGAAATGCATTTGTACCATACAAAAGTCAGACAATGACCATCGCCATAAAGGCAGAATGCAGCTGTTGCCATTGGTCATTTAATAGCACTACTATTGCTAAATCCACCAGTATCCATATCCTGAGGGGTACATTGACTAGAAACGAACATGGACTCGCCATGTATGTATTGTGGTGACAAGAGCAGGACAGATGCTGTGAATTGACTCACAGCCTGCCATCCTGAAGCCTGTCCACCACCTACAAGGCAGGGTCAAGAGTTTGATGGAATACACTCCATTTGTCTGAGTGTAGCTGCAATATTCAAGTTCAGCACTACTCAGGGAAAAGCTACTCATTTGATTGACATCCCACTGAATAACTCCAACATTCATTCATTCCCTCCCCCACAGTAGTAGTAGTGAACAATCTGCAACACATCAACTTACCGGTGCTCCTTTGATAGCACCTTCTGAACCTGTACCATTTAGGAGGCCAAGGACAGCAGATGCATGGGAATGCCACCATTTGCAAGCTCGCTTCCAAAACACTCGGCATTCTGATTTGGAACTATAGCAGTTTCTTCACTGTCTCTGGGTTAAAACCCTGGAATTTTGTGGATCTGTCTAGCCTCCTTTAAAGTATGACCCCTGATTCTGGACGCTCCCACTATTGGGAACACCCTGCATCTACCCTATCTAGTTCTAATAGAATGTTATAGGTTTCTTTTGAGATCACCCCTCATCTTCTGAACTCCAGTGAATTTAATCGTAATTGATTAAATGTGTCCTCATACGTCAGTCCTGCCATCCCAGGAATTAGTCTGGCAAACCTTCATCACATTCATGTGTGGCAAAAGCGTCCTTCCTCAGGTAAGGAGACCAAAACTGCACACAGTATTCTAGATGTGGTCTCAAGGTCCTGTATAATTGCAGCATGACATCCCTTCCTAAGTACTCGAATCTTCTTGCCAAGAAGGCCAACATATCACTTGCCTTCTTTACTACCTGCTGCACCTGCATGCTTGCCGTTAGCAACTGATGTATGAGGATACTCCAGTTTCATTGCGTGTTTCTTTCTTTCAACTTATAGCCACTAAATTCAACAGCATTACCATCACCAAGACCCCCACCATCAA